TTAACCGTATTTACATTGAACCTTATGGGAAAATTTGATTCGGGTCGTGACCAATTTGGGTTGCGACCAGAGTCGCGGAACGAATTAAGTTCATGACCCGAGGTACCACTGTATATGGCAGCATGGAAGGATCAACAGAACTGAACTTTGATAAGGAAAAAGAAAATTGTTACAGTGGTACCTCTACTTACAAACGCCCCTACTTACGAAAATTTCGAGATATGATCAGCTCCGGCCCCAAAAATTTACCTCTACTTACAAACTCACCTCGACTTACGAGCTGTTTTTCCGCCCGTGCCACGTGGTCCACGGCCATTTCCCGCCCATTCCACGTGGTCCGCGGCCATTTTCCGCCCGTTCCACGTGGTCCGCGGCCATTTTTCTGCCCGTTTCACGTGGTCCGCGGCCATTTTCCCGCCCGTTCCACGTGGTCAGCGGCCATTTTTCCGCCCCTGACACGTGGTCAGCGGCCGTTTTTCTGCCCCTGACGCGTGGTCCAGGGACGCCGGAACGGATTAACGGTAATTACATTGATCCTTATGGGAAAATTTACTTCAACTTGCGACCAAATCGACTTGCGATCAGAGTCACAGAACGGATTAAATTCGTAAGTAGAGGTACCACTGTATTTTGTTATAAACAGAACAACCCCCCCCCCACTTGATTATATCGCTTGAAAGTCTTCCTCGCCCTTGGTTTTTGTTTTAAAAAGCTAGATTGAATATTGACAAACACCACATATCAACAAACAGTTGCTAACATCTAAAGCAGCAGGAATGTGGCACAATTCTGCTTGATTTCTGCTGCCATTAGGAAGTTCTGGGCTTAACCCTTATTCTTATGGGGGCTCTTTGGTGATGAAAACCTAAAGGTATTAAAAGTAAGCAATCTCCCTTGGTTGGTTGTTTTTAATGTGTGCTGCATTGCTTTTTTGGCTTTTGACCGTGAATCAGTAAAATAGTCTAATTATAAAAATCAGGTATATATTTCTTCTTCCAGTATTGTGCAATAATTATTTTAACCAACTCCCATGAGTACAAAAACACAGTTCCTGATAGGCAACTATAGCTAAGAAGGACATATGTGCCCTTAATATACAGCAGTTAATCCAGAGTGGTATTAACAACATATTGCATGATTAACATGTCACTGAAATTAACATGTCACAATAAACGGTGTTAAACGTGTCTCAGTCTTGCTCTGTTTTGATTGCAAGACCTGGACAAATCACCCGCTCTTGTATTGTGGGGGGTTGGAAACTATAGCTTGGACCAAGGATTCAAGGTGCAGATGAGAAAGGAGAAAGCTGGCCTGAGGTCAAAATTTGTTCTTACCAAGTATTTTTTAAATTTAATTAATTTAAACTTATTGGCCACCCAACTCCAATGTAATCTTGTTGGCACAGAAAACTAAAAAAAGACATAAAAACAGCTAAAGGTATTAAATCAATAGGCAGGCTAGACTACAATGCTGTAATTACAAAATCCACAAAACAAAATAGGGCCGTTATCATGTTGGTTGTGGTGGAAATAAATCACATAAATAAATGGATGCATAGAGAGCAGAGAAATGCTACATTAGATAGTATGGATGGATGATAGATGATGGATGATGGATGGAAGAGTAGAGAAATGCTAGATTAGACAGGATGGATGGATGGTAGATTATATAAGAGAGAGTGTGAGATAGAAAAGTGATAGATACTGTAGAGAGAAGGAAGGAAGGAAGGAAGGAAGGAAGGAAGGAAGGAAGGAAGGAAGGAAGGAAGGAAGGAAGGAAG